TTTGTATCAAGTTTTGTATACAGGGTGAGAATCACTACAACTTGCAAAAGTCTTGGATTGCTGATAAATTTAGCCACTACCCATAATGCTACCTTGTATTTTTCTTGCCTTAGGAAAAAACTTTTATTGAAAAAAAAAAGAGTTATTAATGGCCGATACACAGAAGGAAAAGGTGCTTTTTTTATATATATAAGCCTGCAATTTTGACTCAAAAATACTACATTCAAAAAAGTCTGTTTTCCTGGATATTTTTATTAAGTACTGGCATTTCTGAAAATAAGGGTATCATTGTTTTGCCTGATTTAAAAAAAATATATAAACTGTTTGATTGTTCTTAGAATATGTATTTAGTATAATTGAAAAGCATCTCAAAATTATTTCAGTATAACTGAATATAGCATCCCAAAATTATTTGGCTGATTTATTCTTGCTTATGTTTAATTCTGAATTTTATATTATTTGGTTATTTAATTTTATAAATAAATGAATGAATGAATGAATGAATGAAAGAAAGAAAGAAAGAAAGAAAGAAAGAAAGAAAGAAAGAAAGAAAGAAAGAAAGAAAGAAAGAAAGAAAGAAAGAGAAAGATCAGCTATTGGGCTATTCTATAAATAGAGTTTTCTGCAGTATAGCCAGGAGCAGTCTAATAAATCCAGGGGTGGGATTCTACCAGTTCGCACCTATTCGCTAGAACCGGTTGTTAACATTCTAAGCAGTTCGGAGAACCGGTTGTTAGAAGAAATTACTGGCCTAATCCTGTAAGGAAGGCAGGAAGAAAACATTCTGGTGTTGCTTACAGAAACTGCCTCTCCGTTAACCCTTATTACATTCTTGGCAGGACTAGACTTCCTGTCTGAGGAACTTCTCTGGAGTTTTTTTTCCCTCCTTTGCTGGTATTTTGCTTGTGTGGCGTGACCATTCAAAGTTACAATGACACTGAAAAAAGTGACTTATGACCCTTTTTCACACTTACGACTGTTGCAGCATCCCCACAGTCATGAGAGGCCAGGCGAGGAGATGCGTGCCTCGATGTGAGTGATATTGAGTTGGCCACGCCCAGCTAATAACATGACCACCAAGCCATAACCACCCAATCACATGACCGCCAAGCCACTCTTACCACCTAAGCCACGCCCACAGAACTGGTTGTTAAAAATTTTGAATCCCACCCCTGAATAAATCCATTTTGTCATCCAAGGACCTAAACATTTTCTTATTTTGAAGATTTTTTATGTGTGTTTGTTATTAATTTGGTTCTATTATGCATTTAATTTTTTTAAAATAATCTTGGACTCTGGGCTTTTTGACTTCATCATTATACAACAGTCTTAAGTAAGAATGAACAAAACTCCCCCCACCCAACCAGAGGTCAATTCAGTGACCAATCAGGATTACAGATGTGACCACATGACATGAACTACATCTCCCATGAGGCATTCCCTTAAGGGGACAGCTCTCATTCCCAAACTAACTATATACTATCTAACCAGCACAATGGGGTTACAATTAGGGAGGCATATATGGATCCAGGACAATGATCTCCTGTAATTCCTGAACAAATTGCAATAAAATCAGTCATATATTTTCATTGTCTCATCTTTACATGTTTACTTTTGATTTAAGACTGATTACAACTCTAGCTTCCTTCAATGATCAGAAGAAATTTCCCCCTTTTCCTCGCCTGTACCTCCAGTGTTTTCTATGACACCCCAACTTTTCTTTCTGTTTTCTGGATGGTCATCCACCAGGTAGCTATCAACTACTCAAACTCTCCTGTCTGTTTGACTGTTTGTAACCTTCAACTTGGCGAAATGGTACATCATAGAGCAGCAGTTTCTGAATCAACGTGGCTCAAATAGGCTAACTTAAAGAATACATCCAAAATCTGGAACCCATGACTGCTGTTGGGATTGAATTTTGGCAAAGTTGTAGCTGATTCAGCGCTTCGGTGCTACTATGCCAACACGCTGCCACGGTCAGCCATGGTCACATAATCATCATTTGCAATGCTCCCTCCCAGCTTTCATAAGGAAAATCAGTGGGGAAACCAGCAAGAAGTCAGAAATTGTTCCCACTTCTACTGCTTTTTTAAAAAAAAACAGCTCTGTTTTTTTTCTGTTATTCTCTTTTTCTGTTTAGATAAGGAAATATCTCTGAAAGTATGACTTGGTGGTCAAGTATTTTCTGTGGCATTCTTGGAAATTAAGATGGTTGCTATGAACAAGTTCGTTACTTTGCAGCAACCAAGCTATCAATGCAATACGATTGGTTACTGAAATAATATGCACATAATACCTCATCCTAGTGAAATGTGGCCTGTTTTACACAATGGATTAAATTAGAGCCTGAATGGCTGGCTTCACATATATTGCTCCATCCTTTAGTTTACGTAACTCTTTGTTTATTGGATAAAATATTGGCCATTGGTTCACCTGTGAAACTATGCATGTAAATATGGTTTACATGTAAACATGGTTTGCAAAAGAGAATGGCTGGATTCTGTCAACTCACTAAGCCAAAATAAAATAAATCACATGACTCCATCCATGAATCCTCTTGTCTTCATGAATAAATGGAGATTGGAACCTGGAGTGTCATCCATCTCTCCTCCACAGTGCTTCGGCCATCCCCGGCAAAAGAATAACAACCATTTGAGAAGGGATGAACTTTGTGACCTCACTGAGCAGTGCCTGCCTGCTTCATTCATGGAGTTGTCAGAATGCTTGGGATGAACTTCTGTGACCTCTTTCACCTACAGCTTAGGTCACACCGGGTGGATTGTGTTTGTTAAGGCTGCTGCTTCCCCCCAGTCTGTCTACCCCAGATCAGGCTGAGGATCTTTCCTTTCACTTAAATCAGGTTGAGGAGGAGGGCACCACCGTGATGGATGTATGCAAATATCCAATCACAGTAAAGGGAGATGGTGCAGTGTCACAGCAATAACCTCTTTCTCTCTGTATGACCCAAGAGTCCTTTAACATGTTTGTGGGTTGTTGGGCAATTAGATAAATGATACCATGATTATTACCTATTTCTGCTTAATTGTCATCCAAGCAGGGGGGGTTGGACTAGAACAAGGGTCTTCAAACTTGGCAAGTTTAAGACTTGTGGACTTCAACTCCCAGAATTCCTGAGCTAACATGGCTGGAGGAGGAATTCTGGGAATTGAAGTCCACAAATCTTAAAGCTGTCAAGTTTGAAGACCCCTAGACTAGATGGACCTCCAAGGTCCCTTCCAACCCTATGATTCTATGATTCATATTGCATTCAGTACTGTTGTAATATGTGTGGTTTTGGTGAGTTTGACATATGAAGTTGAATCTGAGCCGCACAGACCTAGACTCTACACATATTTCTACTAGGGAATCCTTTTTTAGTCACTGGGATCTACTTACCCAGCACATTCCTTTCCTGTACTCCATTTTATCTTTTGGGCAGAGAGTGCTTCTATGACCATCCAAACTATCTTCTTGGATTTAGCCATAGTCTCTTTTTCTCTGCCTCATGGAACCCTTCTTATAGCCCCAAAGCCATAGCTTTCCAGCCCATTTTGTTTGTGTAATAAATCACAACTAGTCCTTTTTTAAGACTTTGAAAAGCCCATAAAAATCAGCTGTCCCTTACAATTGAATTAAAAGGGAGATGGTTTTTATTTTTGCTGCCATACTAGCAGTAGCACTTAGACTTATATACTGCTTTACAGCGCTTTACAGCCCTCTCTAAGCAGTTTACAGCTTATTCCCCCCCCCCTCAATCTGAATCCTCATTTTACCCACCTTGGAAGGTTGGGAGGCTGAGTCAACCTTGAGCCTGGTGAGATTTGAACTGCCAAATTGCAAGCAGCTGGCAGTCAGCAGAAGTAGCCTGCAATACTGCACTCTAACCACTACTCTCACTACAGGGTGGATTATTCCAATCTGGAAGCACCATGCTGTTTGCTATTTGTTATTTGTTCACTTGGATCCTTTTGTATCTCAGTGGGGCCCACTTTATGTTGTGATAACATTCAGTGTCAAAGACAGGCAAACATTAGAAAAGTTAACAGTAGCTACTCAGCAAAGACCCTTAATACTATATCTCACTTTGGACCTCTGCAATTTTTTGGACCCAGCCAAATGTGGCATTTTTTGATGTTTCAGAATGTAGAAGTTGAATGCATGCATAGAAATTATAAAGTTTGGAAATTTCAGCTTAACAATAGGAGGGCTTTCCTAATGGTGAGACCAGTTCAGTGATAAAATAAACTATTTCCAGAAGTAATGAGAGCTACAGTGGGAAAAACAATGACACAAAATAAGTAGCATAACGTCTATTGCATGGGGCCAGGATTTCTGGTTTTCTTTGTTTGGTATTTCAAAATTGTAACATCTGTTTTAGGAGAGAAAGTTATCACTGATTTCCAGCAATTTATTTATTTAGCATTTGTTTATTTGTCCAATTTATATAGTTCGGCTGTTGAAGTCAAACAGTATAGGTTAAGGCATTCTAGGGTCTATGAAAAAGCACTTGCTGTAGTGATGTCCTGTTGCAGCTCTGCCCCGAACTGTACATATATCTGGACCAGGGGTGTCAAACTCTCATTGTCACAGCACCATCATGTGACGTATCACAAATTTGCCTCTTTGCTAACCTGGGCATGGCCATAGCCAGCGTGTGACGCATCTGGCCCATGGACTGCAATTTCGACAGCCCTGATCTAGGTTGTCTTTCATAATTATGTCTCCAGTATAGATCAGAATACCAGATGTAGTGATATGCCACTGCATGCAGGTAATCCTTGACTTACAAAAGCTTGTTTAGTTCACTAAACATGGCACTGAAAAAAGTATTATAACCGTTTTTCACCCTTACAACCAGTGGTGGGATTCAAATAATTTAACAACTGGTTCTCTGCCCTAATAATTTCTTCCAACAACCAGTTCACCAAATTGCTCAGAAACTTAACAACCGGTTCTCCCGAAGTGGTGCAAACTGGCCTGAATCCCACCACTGTTTACAACCATTGTGGCATTATGTGATCAAAATTCAAATGCTTGGTAACCGGAACGAGACAACTTGGTGCGGCCATCTCACCCAGCTAGTCATGGCCAACTCAGCCGACTTACTGTGGGACAACTCACTCTGGGACAATTTAACAATTCAGTTTTAAGCATTTAAAATAATTTTAAAAAATAGTTGTAATTTTTGCCACTCACATGTCATTTTGTCCCTCCTTTTGCATCCTTTCTTTAATGATTCTACTCCACCATTTCTTCTATATTAGTGTAACTCTTGTCCTGAAGTAAGTTGGCCATGGTAAGTTGTCCTTCAGGATGTTGGGCAAGGCAAGTTGGGCGTGGCGAGTTGGCTGTGTTGAGTTGTCCTCACTGAGTTATCTGTACTGAGTTGTCCAAGCCGAGTTGTCCTAGATCATTGGCAACTGACTCATAATTATGAGGGTTGCAGGGATCACGGGATTACTTTTTGCGTTCTTCTGACCAGCAAAGTCAGAGTGGAAGCCAGATTCATTTAACAATCCTATTACTAATCTAACAACTGCGGTGGTTCATTCAACAGCTGTTGCAAGAAAGGTCGTAAAATGGGACCATAAAACTCATTTAATTGTCTTACTATTCGACAGAGATTTGGGGTTGTAAGTCAAGGACTACCTGTATGAGAAAAAACACTCTTGATAACATAAACTCTTGCCATATATCAATGTCAGTTGTTTTTCTGATTGCTGCAATGGATGGATTAAAATCAAAGAAGAGTAAAAATCAAAGCTTTATGTCAGGAGTGTCAAACTCACAGCCTGCGACCGGATGTGTCACATGCTGGCCACCCCTACCCCCAATTTAGCAAAGGGGAATAAAGTTGCGATAAGTCACATGTGTTGTCGCAAGATTGACACCTTTGCTTTATGGGCTTGAATAAACTCGGGAGAGTGCATGCAGTTTGCACTGAGTGAGATACACAGTTGTAGTTTATGTCTGTTTCACTTTGCATCAAATGTCTCAAATGAAAAAAGGACGCCACCACAAAGTATGGGGGGGGGGAAGAGAAAGGTGTATTGCAGAACATAGGTAATGACACCAAAGATTGAAAAACAAAAATAACAAATCATTAAGCCTCAGTTTGGACAACACCCAACTGTTTCTACCTTGGATTGTTCCAAATGTTTGACAAAAGATCCCTAAAAGGAGTGACAATGCTTAATATCTGGAAGAACTGAGGATCAGAAGAAAAGAATCTAATATAAGAACTAGCTCGATACTTACGCTTTGCTACGAAACTATGTGGTTGGGCTTAGTTTTTAGGGAGGAAAATAAGGAAAAAAATTCTGCCTCTGCCTACCAGCATCCCATCGGTATTCATCTGGCTAGCGTCCTGTCAGTGTGTGTGAGAATTGAGGGCTGTTTGAAACTGAAACAATATTTGCTGTGTCAGCAAGAAGGAGACAGCAAGGAGCCTGGGTGTGGCTTAGCTCAACTGTTCTGTACTAAAGCTGCTTAATGCTGTGAAACTAAAACTGAAACTGAAACTCCTCTCCTCTGTGTTTTGCATTTGGAACAGATTTCTTTTCAGGCGGGGCGGGGTAATAGAACTCCTTAGCATCAGAGTGTGTTAATAATAATATACAAAATACTAATGCTCTGATGGTCGTTTTGAAAAATCCTTTCTTAGTGAGCACCTAGAAGCCAAAGGAACATATGTGCCAAATTTCAAGTTTGTAGGCTTTACCATTCTGAAGGTTTTGTGATGACGCGTGAGTGATATTTCGCTTTTTTATATACAGATAGAAAAGATGCTAGATATCGAATAACTAAAGATAGTAGCCTTTCCACTATTCTGGTTTTGACTAGCTGCTTATTAGATCCTCAGATGTCTTCATTTTCAGATGGATAGTGTCAGGAATGGAGAAAATCGATATGTGATCCAAGCCTCACTCTAAATTTAGATTGTTTTATAAGAAGGGGGAACAAATCTCTTGGGGCTCCATAGTTGGTTTTGAAATAGAAGAAAATGTATTTATGCTGCCAAAGTTCACAGTCATTCTGTAAGCTTATGAAACTGTTGTTTCATTACATGACTGCAATAAAGCTTGTTGATATGTACATAGGTTATTGGAGTGCATTTTATGATTGTTGTCATGCAGACTGATAGACCAGGGAGGAAAATATTATCTCTCCCCTCCCAAAAAATGTTCTGAGATCTTTTTGATTAAACTCTGGACTGCAGTAAATGTTGTGGTTAAAACTGCCACCACATTGCGGTCTAGAAATAGAAAAAAGAAATTAAAAAAAGGACGATATGAATCTTTTCGGTTGCAGATGATAAAAATGAGTAACAGCTTGACTCTTCTTTGAGTCTGCAGCTACAGTTTTAGACAAATTGCTACTATGACATCTGCATCAAGCTAATGATTGCACTTTTGAGGTCTGGAATATTTTATTTTGTTTTTTTCAATGGGCAAATGAAGTAACGAACCCTGAAAAAAGTAAAATACAACTACCAAGAATCAGCAAAGGACATATTTTATGGCCTTCTGTTCAACATGGATACGGAGATTTATGAACCTGAATACTGAACTGAGTCTGAAGCCTGTAGTCCAGGAAATTCACAAACGAGACTTAAGTATTCTTGCTCCTCTTCTTAACCAACAGAGAAAAGTGATTATTTCTGAATCTGACTGTAATTCTCAGATGTGATTATTTGTTATCATTATGGATTTGTCTACTTTTAAAGCATTGTTGGCACGGCACCTTTTAGAGCAAATTCCATGGTCTGTGTGGTATGAATACGCATTTTCTTTCATCTGTCTTGAATATCCTACCACTCAGCTTAATTTGGATGACTCTGGAATCATATATCCTCCTCTTTAAATCAGGAAACAAAGTTAGTTGTGCAAATAATGTGAAATATACAGTATGGCACTGTACAAGACAAAGTTTAGATAACATTCATTCCCATATACTGTGTAGTTGTTTGGCATTTATCACCTGTAATTTATTTTGGCATTATTTTTCAATGAAAAAAAAAGGCTAAAATTGTAAGTCAGTTTCTACAGTTGCCATTTTCAGTTTTGCTTTTATACTTATAGAAGTCAGGATAGTTTTTGTCATGTTTAGCTGTTTGCTAAAGGTGGGTGAATTAGTTCATTCTAGAAATCTAGTACTCCTATTGTTCCAGAACTTCCTGTTGTTTTAGGATCAGTAACTTAGATTTGTTGTTGACTTATGGGTGTGCCTAAAAAAAGTGTTATATTTCCCACCTGGGATTCATTTATTTATTTATTTATTTTTGTCAATTGCTTACAAGATAATAGTATAAGTAAAAAACATAGTTATGAATACATGGATACATATAAGAAAAGTAAAAAAATAAAAGAAACAATAGGACAGGGACGGTAGGCATGTTGGTGTGCTTGTGCACGCCCCCATAGACCTTTTAGGAAAGGGGTGAGGTCAATAGTAGACAGTCTAAGGTTAAAGTTTTTGGGATTTGGGAAGAAACCACAGAGTCAGTTAGAGTATTCCAGACATTGACCACTCTGTTGCTGAAGTCGTATTTCCTGCAATCAAGTTTGGTGCGATTAACCTTGAGTTTTTATCTATTGTTTGCTCTTGTGTTGTTATGGTTGAAGCTGAAGTATTCATTGACAGGTAGGACATTGCAATGTATGATTTTATATACTATACTTAGATCGGACCGAAGGTGGCGTAGTTCTAGATTTTCTAGGTCTACAATTTCAAGTCTGGTGGCATAAGGTATTCTGCAACGAGTAGAGGAGTGGAGAACTCTTCTTGTGAAATATTTCTGGACTTTCTCAACTGTGTTTATATCAGATACGTAATGTGGGTTCCAGACTGATGAGCTGTATTCGAGTATTGGTCTAGCAAATCTTTTGTATGCTCTAGTTATTAGTGTAATATTACCAGAGGAAAAAACTACGTAAGATTAGGTTAGCAACTCTTAACGCCTTTTTGGCTATCTAGTTACAGTGGGCTCTAGCACTTAGATCATTTGAGATGAGTACTCCAAGATCCTTGACAGAACTTGGGTCATCAACAAGGTCTTGACTATTCAGCCTTTACTTTATTTTCTGATTTTTTTTGTCAATATGTAAGACAGAGCATTTATTTGTTGAAATTTGAAGTTGCCATTTGTTTGACCATTCTGATACATAGTCAAGGTCTTTTTGAAGGGTAGCAGTATTGTCTGTAGTGTTGAATACCTTTACATCATCAGCGAAGAGAGCGCAGTGCTCTTAATATGATCACAGAGGTCATTTATGTAGAGTATGAAAAGAGTTGGTCCTAGAACACTGCCTTGGGGGTCACCACTGTTGACAGGTACAGGATTTGATAGGATGCTCCCAATTTTGACCATTTGTTGTCTTTTTGACAGGAATGCTTCTATCCAGTTATGCAGGTGTCCAGAGATACAGTAAGATTTTAGTTTTAGGAGTAGTTTGTCGTGTACCACTGAATCAAAGGCTTTACAGAAGTCTATGTAGATTGCGTCTATTGCTTTGCCCTGATCGAGTTGTGCAGTCCATATGTTTTTGCAGTGTAAGAGTTGAGATTACATGATAGTTTTTTTCCTGAAACCAAATTGTTTATTAGAGAGTAGGTTGTTTGTTTCTAAGTGGAGGATGATGGATTGGTTAATAATTGATTCCATGACTTTACAGGTGACGCAGCATAAAGAAATTAGTCTGTAATTTTCAACTAGGCTGGGGTCTCCCTTTTTGAAGATGGGGATGACTGTGGCTTGTGACTATAGTTTTGGCAAGGAGCTGGTCCTGAAAGATTTTTCAAAGATTATGCTTGGAGGTTTGGCTATGGCAGTGGATAGCTTTTTTAAGAAGTATGCGCATATTCCATCCGGTCCAATAGATAGAGATGGTTTTAGATTGCGTAGTGCTTTTTCAACATTGTCTTCTGTAAAATCGATATGTATTAGATCATTGTAGTTCTCTGTGGTTCAACTAGGAAATACTGGGCATGATCCATTGCTGTTTACAAATACTGAGCCAAAGAATGTGTTAAAGAGGTTGGCTTTAATAGTCTATGAAAGTTCCCAATGCTAAAACAACCAGCCTTTAAATGACATGGAAAACTGTTGAGATAGACCTGTTTTAACAAAATAGTGATGAGCGTTTATATAGCACAGTTGTAGAGGATTATATCAAAGGGGAATGGATGTTGCATTTTTATTCTGTAGTCTGTAAGTTTGGATGGATTCTGAAAGGACCTGTAGAACTGACTGTAGCCAGAAAGGCAAGTTTATCATAGTTTTACTTTTGAGACCATCAGAAAAATCTCACTTTGATAAATAGTAGAAAGTCAAGCAACTTTTTCTGTTGCTCCCAAGGAAGCTCTTTTCAAACCTCCAAGGAATGGTGTACAATCCGGAGAAATTCCCTAAGACGCATTCATTCTTCAGCTTTAGAGATAAAGGAAGCCATCTGTGATTTTCTCAGATCAAAATAGGATGCTATGCAACCTAACTGAATTAAATCTGAAGCTCTTTCTGTATATGCTAGCAATTTCTCCTTATCTCTAATTCAAAACAGCCCATCCACAATCCTGTCTGCAGTTCCATGATGTAATTTAGGAATGAAATTTGTGGTATTCTTGCTCATTTCCGTTAGATATATATTTGACCGTATCTCTTTCAAGAACAATACACATTTTTACAAGGAATGTGAAACTATGCTTCATATGTTAGTATGGAGACAGATTTTTGAGGTCAAAAATTGAGGTAATTAGGTTCAGAGTATAGCAGGTACAATGGTATAATGCAAAACATAGTGACATACAGGTAGTCCTTGACTTACAACAGTTCATTTTAGACCGTTGGAAGTTACAATGAAACTGAAAAAAAGTGACTTATGACTGTTTTTCACGCTTACGACCATTGTAGCATACCTGGGGTCACATGATCAAAATTCAGATGCTGGGCAACTGACCCATATTTATGACAGTGTCCTGAGGTCACATGATCATCTTTTGTGACCATCACGAGCAAAGTCAACGGGGAAGCCAGATTCACTTAACAACTTTCATACTAATTTAACAACTGAAGTAATTCACTTAACAACTGTGGCAAGAAAGGTCGTAAAATTGGGCAAATCTCACTTAACAAGTGGCTCACTTAGCAACATAAATTCACTTAGCTCAATTATGGTCATAAATCAAGGACTACCTGTACCTTTCACCACCTAAAGATACCCACACCCACTCACTCACATCCACAGGCAAAATATTTGGAAATGGAAGCTTCTAGAAGGGGACAGTTTTTCAACAATTGTTCTCTGTATATTTATTTCTTTTCACTGAATGTGAGAAATTTCCCTAATGCAATTTATTTGAGGAATTTCCCCATAAGTTTGTTGTTCCTGCTGTATTTGTTGATTCAATTTTCTTTCATTTTATTCCAGTGAAATGCTTGGTGATACACAAATAAAACTATGTCTCTGTGCATGGTGGCTGGTACAACAGAGGCCTTAACAATCCAAACGAACATATTAATGTATTTAAAAGGAAGCTTTTAAGTCTTTTTTGTTAAATAGCTACACTTACTGGTAAGATTAGGAACAACAGTTTTCCTCCCGCCCCTGTTCACTGCCTTATTGTTGCAGCAAAACCAGCAGAGTTTCATAATGCTTCAACATTAATCCGTTTGCTATATACCCTAAGACTTTGTGAGTTAAAATCATCTTGCATTTCTTGAAGTTAATGATAGTATAAATACATAGAAAGTTTTGTAATAAATGAAAACAATAAAGTTATGATCATCATAACATACCATAAGATTTCTGTTTTGCTGTAGAAAATGAAAGGGCCTCATCTTTTGAAATCAAATTTTTTGCAGTTGGAAGTAAGGACCCTGTTTCTGTTCTAATTTTTACAGGTAATCCTTGACTTATGACTGGTCACTTAGCTACCATTTGATGTTACGACCTATCTAAAAAACGAGATTTACAACCTGAATTTGAACTTCTGATGGTCACCCCCCAGGGGTCACATGACCAAACTCTGGGTGCTCAACAACACAACTGCATTTACAGCTGTTTGCAGTGTTCCATGCTTATGTTTTTTACAATAAAAAACCCCCTGGCACTTCCAGTTTTTTGCAAACCCTTGCCATATTGAACAACGAGTTTGCTTAATGACTGCGGTGCTCATTTTACAATTGCTTAATGACTACTGCAAAAAAAATATTGTAAAATTGGCTTGGTGACATGACCACATACCCACATACTCAAATATATTATAGGACACAGAGAAACAATACATTCTAGTTCGGATGTATACATGTTCATGGTGAGAAAAACTAATCTTGCGAGTTTACCAGATGGCTTAGGGAACAAAGCAGTTACAGAATGTGGGAGTCCTGCTAGAAATACTTTGAAACCTCCTCCCAGAAGGGAGCAACAGAAACAGACCGTAAAGTGGGTGTGTGGGGTCTCTAACAATGCTTTGAGCTCTAAGCACATAGCACTTATAAGCAGTATCCTGAATAATGGGAAGTGAACTTCCTATAATCTCAGTTGTCCTTATCACACTCTGTAGGGACAAATGAGAAGACTATTCCAAGGAAGCACTAATTCATTACTATTTTCAGCAGGATTCCCTTTGTTTTTGACTGTCCAAGCATGGCCAATAGTGAGGGATGCTAAAAACTTGAGTTTAGCAAATGATCCAGAAGACATCAAGTTCCCAAAACCTATGAGAACTTTATGGTAGAGACTGTGTTTGTTTTTATTTCTAGTGGTTTGAATGAGATGGGAAACTCCAATGTAACTTTACTGGTTTTGGCTTGATTTTTAAATCTAACATGAAAATGAAACAAGTATAATCGGCACGCCTTATTAGGAATACCTATTATTACCCAATTTGGGAAAGCATAAATCCATTATTTAATGATCTAGCCAGAATGAGAGTTTATTTAAAAATCTCATTTTTTGGATGGAAGTTATTAATTGACAGCGATATACAATATATTGTCAATGGTAATTATTAAAGTTATGTTTTTATTGGTAGATTTTTTTCATAGATTTGTGTTTTCCTTCTCATTGTTAGAAATTTCAAAGCCATGTTTATTAGTTGGAAAGAAGATATGTTGATTATTGCTCACAATTTCAGTTTTTTTCTTTCTCCTTACTGTTTCTTTCAGCCCCTCATCTATACAGATATACTTCTTGTAAGATGATGATTCATAATAAGCTCCTTGTACAGCTTGTAACTACAGAATGTGCTGTAGCTGCTTCTAGGTCAGACACAATCACTATTGTGGACTCTAAATTATATGTCAAGTTAATTTGAGGTTGCAGACTGTTGCAGTAGTAAGTTCTACTATATGACTAGAAAAAAAAGTTAATAAAAAATACAAACAGCCTGAACTAGCAATATACATGCATCACAGACAAGGAAGACTTTCCCCCCCCTTTCTTTTAACCAGAAAGTTTAGTGTAATCAGCAAATCTGAAACTTTAGCATAATCAGCAAATCTAGCAATTTCAGTTTTAGCCATTACTCCAGCAACTCATGCTGCTTGATTCAGGACCATTTGCAGCTTCTGAATGATCTTCATGGGTAGCCTCACATAGAATGTCTTGCAGTAAGGAAAGCAAAAGGGGACTGAAATATGAGTCACTGTGAGCAGAGTTACCCAGTGCAGGAAAGATTGTAATTGACATAGAACATGGTTTTATGGAAAGGCCCTGCAGATGACAACTGCCATTTCCTTATTTGAATAGGAACCAAGAGTCCACGAGAACCACAAACTGCATACATGTTCCACCTTGGGAAATACAAAGGCATGTTGAATGGTTTTTCAAGGTATTTTTTCAAAGCTGTAGTGCAATCATTTAAAGAGCCTCTTTATTCATACACACATTTGTGTACATGCAAAGACAACACAACTGGGACTGGTATGAAAGAAGAATGGTCAGTTTCTCATAGTCGTATATTTGAAAATGTTACCCTCAGTAAGACTTCCTGCTATTATAGAGACTCTGGTAAGAATCCCTCCTTAACCCCATTTCAAATGTTCAAGATTAGCTTTTTTCTAATCCTGCAATCTTTGATCAAGCTTGCTGGAAAAAGTAGCAAACCCAAGTTACATTTTTCATTATCCAAATGTTGTTCTGTTCACATGATGCAAGATAGCACTGTTCCTCTTGCATTCTGTCTTATCTCGGAGTGGCAGGAAACAGATAACAAGTGAAGCTGTGGAAGAGCATTGGCGAATGTTGAAGGTTAAAGATGGTGGGTGCAGATCTGTCTTCAGCTTCCTACTGTTTTGATATGTGGGTGGACCCCACGGCCCTATTTTTAATATCGAACATAATCATTCTAATATAGAATATAGTCATTCTACTTAGCTTTGTGTATATCGGTTATCATTCTGTGGACATTATGTGTAGAAGTTCTAGATCAGATGAAAACTTGGTAAACTGCATTCAGATACTACCCTGAACTATTGTTTAGCTATGCTTTAATGAGCAAGTCAGAATTGGCAGCATGCATGTCATGCTAAGCCATCACTATCAGTTCTTTTTATTATACATTAAAGCAAAACTGGGCAAAGCCAATTAGGCCTTAACACATTGTGTGAATCCATCCTTTCTATGCTTTTGTTTCCAAGTGAAAAATGTGAACCTGTTTCTATATGAATAGTGATAGAAGTAGTAATGTGGGTAATCAGTTCATTTTTTCAATAATAACTACTTGATTATAACATTTTATTACTTAATATAATCTCAAGAATTACTTGTGCAATAGTTGTGATATGGAACTAAGTTGACTTTAGCATTTAGCCTTATTTTTTGACATTAAAATGGGAAACATAATTTTATTTAGTGGTTAATAAGTATTCTGAACAAGGGGTTTTCAAATTTTGCAACACCAGAAACCTTTAAAACGATAAAAGGAATTTGTGCGCCTCCCTTATGAATGTCTTTCATAAATGAAGTCAGTAAATAAATTTATTACTAACTTCTCTGGGCTAAAGGTTGTATAAGAAAAACCTATGTTGCTTAGTAAAAGAAATGTACAGTTAGACCTCCAGTTACAATCATTCATTTAGTTATAACAGCACTGAAAAAAAATGACTTATGATCATTTTTCACCCTTATGAGGATTGAAGCATTCCAGCAATCACATGATCAAAATTTGAACACTTGGCAACTATTTATGACAGTTGCAGTGTGCCAGGGTCATGTGATCACCTTTTGCAAAGTCAATGAGGAATCCAGATTCATTTCTCTGTTACTAACTTAAAAACTGTAGTGATTCGCTTAACCATTATGGCATAAAATGGGACAAGGCTCATGTAACTGTCTTCCTTAGCAATGGAAACTTTTTGGCTAAATCTTGATCATAAATTGAGGATTACCTGTCATATTCATCATACAATCTTGAGTTAGAATAGAATAGAATAGAATAGAATAGAATAGAATAGAATAGAATAGAATAGAATAGAATAGAATTCTTCATTGGCCAAGTATGATTGGACACACAAGGAATTTGTCTTGAGTGCATATGCTTTCAGTGAACATTCTTTTTTTATTTAGGCTTGTTTCAACAGACTGGTCATTTTCAGTTTGTCATCTACCACCCAGGAAAAGTGTTTCTATTTTAAAAGGCTAGATATTTAAAGTAATAGATATGGGAACTTACTGAAATGAATACACCTACAATACCAGATATACTGCTTGCGGATAGTGTTTTTTTTTTAAAACAAATTTTATTAGTTTTTAAAGACAAACAAAACATAAACCTTGTAGACATTAAACCTCTTTCCCTTATAAATTTTTACAAGGCAGATAATACATTATTTTATACAGTGTGATTTTAATATATCCCATTTCTACTTAAATATCTTTTAAAACTCTCATTTCTTCTCTTTAAATTTATTTCCCTCTGTCTTGTTTGCAATTATTCTCCTCCCGCTTTCCTCCAAGGTTTTATTAAATCTCACATAAACATACACACACAAAACACATAAAGTAAAACATCTTTTTCAAAAAAGTAGCTTGGCCCCGGATTACCACTCTTTGTATGGACTTCAGTTAAATTCATATTCATCTTATATGCCATTACCTATCTTAATTACCATTCTGTGTCTTCTTTATAACTTCTCCCCGCTTTCCACTCTTCTTAATTCTATTTTGTTTATTATCTTAATTTAAATCATTATATTTCTATCCTTTGTCCATTCTTTTCCAATTGTCTATTTATCTCATTCCCCATAATAAAATAAAAGACTTTCTCCTGAAATCACAAATCAAAGTATGATGCCTTTCCATCGCACCTCTAAATTAACATTTAAGGTAACACCAAGTTCCCTATCTGATTCTGCTTAGTACATACTACTTACAAAAAGAAAATAGTAAATCCATAACATAATTAAATATATAATTAAACATTAAATCTCATAACATTATTTATTTCAAAAACAAATATTACAATAATATATTCATACTAACATCCACACAATAGTCAATTAAAATCTATATTTAAACTAAGTATTTTAAACCTTCCTTTTAATATTTTATTAAATCTTAAATTCTACCATTATTAAACCTTTAATATTTTAGTCTTTACTCAAGTCTTATAAAATTATAATTTTCTATTTCTAATACAAATACTACAATACTATCTTATGTACCTTGCAGAATCCTTTTAAAACAAAATTATATTACCCTTTATCCCTGAAAAACAATTTCTTTTTCGCATCTTGTTTCATACCCTTGTGGCCTTTTTCCCCCTTCTTCCTCCCTGTCTTATCCCATCTGGTCTTTTTACCCCCCTTAACTTCCCCTCTCTGTTGTATTTCTCTTTCCTTTTGCTTTCTAGCCTTGTATTGATTTTGCATCTTATTTTTCACTTTCTTAGATATTTTTTTAAGTCTTATATCCTTTTTTTCCCTTCTCTTTCTCCTTCCTTTCTTAATCAACTCTGTGGGTTCGTTAAAGATGGCTTCTTCTTCTTCTTCTTCCATCAGTTGTTGTATTTGCTGATAAGTAGCAAGCGCCATTTCTAAAAAGCAAAAAATTTCTCCCACATCGTCTTTCTTTATTTTGCCATATTCCTCTCTCAGTTCATCAGCAGATAAAGTCATTGTAAATTCTCTTCTTCTTCTTCTTAAAACAGCCAAAGATATTTCCAAGCTTAAAACAATTCCCAAAGTCCCAAAGTCACCAAACAATCCAAACAAAGCACAAAGTTCTTCCCTTCTTCCTGGGTTAATATCAGTTGCAAAGGGAGAAAAAAAAGCCAATCTGTATTTTAAATTCTTATTACAGTAACTTCCAATCTCCAAAATCTTCCAGGCATCTCCTTCAACAAAATCTTAATATAAATTTTCCTTTTGTCCTCTCCCTTCCCATTTATAACAAGAAGCTTTAAATTTTTACCTTTTGTAAAATAGTAGGATTTTCAGTATTCATTTGTTAATTCCATGTGGAAGGAGAGTAAACTTTCACTTTAAACACTTTCACTCGCCGCTTGCAAATCTCTTCTGGAAACAAAGTATCTTTCAAAAAACAAACAAACCCAAATCTTAGATTTCAGGGTATTAAATGTATCTTCTAGTCCCAGTTCAGCCAAAAAAACTTTCGCTTCAAAACTTTCTCCTTCTTCCTCCAGCACGATCTTGTCCGGCTGCTGGCTTCTTTGTGGCAGCCATTGCTGACCGCTGCTGGACCGACTTGAGAAAAGGAGGTTGTGCCGGGTGGGGAAGGGGTCTGCGAACACCCCAACCCCCTGTCCGGATTCTCCCTGTCTTCGGTTGCCTCTACGGGGCAACCTTATCCTCCAGACCCGTCTGGGTCAGAGGAACCAAGAACGGCTAGCGCGGCGGGGATCGCAGAGATCGTGAAACCCCGCCGCCTCCGAAGCCTGGCGAAACCAGAAGTCCACGGATAGTGTTTTTTGACCAATGGTTTGATGGGTCTAGCCCTCTCTTAAAATTAACTCTAGGCCAGGGGTGTCACACTAGATTTCTTTGAGGGCTCGATCAGCATTGTAGTTCTCCATGGGCTGGCTGGGGGGGGGGGGAAGATGGGATGGATACCTTCTGCAACACCCTGCTGGCCAAAACGGGGTGTGGAAGGGCCCGCATGGCCCTGCATGCCCTGTTTTCGGCCTGGAGGGCCTCCTGCCACACTTTGCTGACCAAAACGGGGTGCGCGGGGTCACATGCAGCCCCCACACACCATTTTGGCCTGGCAACGTGTGGCAGGAGTGTGTTCAGGCTGAAAATTGGGCACACATGGGCCGCGAGTGGCCTGCCTGTGCCCCATTTTGGCTGTCAGAGGCACCACAGGCCAGTCCTTTGCTATTTCCAGGCTGGCCCCATGGGCCAATTTAAGCACCCCGCAGGCCAGATCCCACCCCTGGGCCCTGAGTTTGACACCCGTGCTGTAGGCCTTGCTTCCTGAATTATCTAAGGATGGCCTAAGGCTACCTATGGACAGAGACAGACTGTATTTTGATACTGTAGTGTGATTACATTTCACTTGTCATCATTTTTTTTTTTAAAAGAATGCTTGTAGCATCCCACCCAACCCCATTATTTGTGTTCAAGGGTTGCAATCTACAGTTTTAAGAATCCTGACACTATTGAATTATGTTTCCTTTTAGAACTGGAAGTTAATTCTGTTTCTCAATTTAGAGGATAGGCTAGGGTGTTTTTTGGATGTTTTATTTGGGGAAGTTCCTTTCTTAGAAACTTTGTATCATCAAGGGTACTCTAAACTATTACTCAATAGTCTTCATTTTGTATCCGGACTATTGAGATAAATATAGTTTTCATTCTCACTCTGGAAATGTGTCATTCTTGCAGACAGACTTTTTTTTAAAAAAATAAAATTTGTAATGAAGCGCCTGTCTAATAAATCTCAAGTATGGAAAAAAATAAAGTTTTATTGTTGAATAATACAAATAGTATAGTTTTGTGGATTAATTTCCAAATTGCATAGAATTGAGTCAAAGTCTGGATAACCTAAATTGTGAGAATTTTGAAAGAATGGAATTCTCCTTCCCAATTACAGAAAGAAACATCGTTTTGACTTTTTTGAAAATAAAAAGCATACTATATTTATATTTTCTTTAAGTTGGTTCTTCTAGCATTAGGAAGAAATATCAATATCCCACCTCATAATTGGAGTGATCATTGGACTCAAGAAAAAATCAGTACAGTATAACACAATTTTAAAAAATCTGAATTGCTTTGACAGTCTTATTTTGAGCAGTCATATTTCAATGAAAAATTCCCGAAGACCACTAGATCATATAACTGTGGTAGCCAATCTTATGCCTACATGTCAATCTTTGACCTTAGTCACTTCCTGATAGCTCTTTCCTCACAGCATATATCAATGAGTTGGCTTCTTTATGGTCCTCCACATAGTTTCACAACAATTGTTAAAGGCGGTAGTGCTTGATGACTGAAAACAAAGGTGGAGTAGGAATGTGTAAAGTAGGAGCAGGCAGGTCTCTTAGCCTTTACTGGACTCCCTATTCTGTATTGAAATAAATGAATGGGAAACTGATGTCTTACAAAGCAAAACAATAGAATGCCCTCTTTTTTATTTATAAGAATCTCTTTGACCATTTTTAGAGGAAAAAAAACAGTGTGTAAGCTCAGTTAAGTGCTTTGTCCAGCAGTTTATTATCATTTCAAAAATAATAAAAATAAATGTAAACTGAATGGGGGGAGGGATATCAGAGAGCAATAGCTATAAGACTTATGTACCGCTTCATAGTGCTTTACTGCCCTCTCTACACAGTTTACAGAATCAGCATATTGCCTCCAACAATCTGGGTCCTCATTTTACCGACCTTGGGAGGGTGGAAGACTGAGTCACCCTTGAGCCGTTGGGAATCGAACTGCTGGTAGTCGCCACAATTAGCCTGTAATTCTGCATTCTAGCCACTATACTACCACGGTTCTTCAACCTCAACTTTTTGACATTCTGATGATTACCGGAGTTATGAAATAGGAATAACTGAATAAAATGTGGAAGGTTTATGATTGGCCATATCCCTTGTGGTGGCCATTTTATGAATCAACTTTCATTCACATCATCTTGTGAAATTATCCATAGCATGCTCTCATTTTAAATATTGCCATAGTCCAAAATTATAATGTATCAAGTACCTGGAGAGCTGTAGTGTCACTGTAGATATTGGAATTTTCATAAGTTCCAAAACCCTTTAGTAGAATGAACAAACAACAAACAAAACCAAGTGTTCATTTTCTAACAGGCGTTGTCCCTCTTATGTCTTTGATGTACCCGTCCAGCTAATAACATGAATAGAAGTTTTATTTTCTCATTAAACTTTGTTTTTTTCCTGCAAGGGAGTGAAACTAATGTTGGAAGACAGTTTCCTAAACCATTTGACAGGCTTGTTTTCATAATATTTTGAAATGTCATTTAGAATTCGATTATTTACACTTCAAAATACAGTGGTGCCTTTTTATAATGCTTCTTCTTAATGGAATAGGGCATGAACTAAACAAGGGTGGGTTTAGAAACTGGTGTGAATTGCTTTTGTGTGTTAGATTTGTCATGAAATCTTTCATGGCAAGTTTTTATAACTTAGAGAATTTTCTGCAACTTTCCTTGCCTTTTTAGAAATGAATTATTAGAGTCTTGAATTTGTTATGTTCTGATCTATATGGATAGTGTTCCTGATACCCCACCCATTTACAACTTGTTTGGTCTCTGGAGCAGAGAATTCAGATTCACTATATGATCTACTCAATAGATGTATGGTTGGGTCTGGTACCCTAAATTTCATAAGACGTGTCATGAGAGCCTTAAAGGAGACATTAGTCTAGAAACAAGAGAAGAACTTCTATTATCTCTCTCATATAACAAAGAGAATCAATTAAAAACTCTTTCCACCAAGATATAATTAACCCCAATGCTATCTAATGATTAAACCATGTTATAGCCATGCTGTATCTATAGCAGGGGTCTTCAAACTTGGCAAGTTTAAGACTTGTGGATTTCAACTCCCAGAATTCCTGAGCTATTCTGCAGTTCAAGTCCACAAGTCTTAAACTTGCCAAGTTTGAAGATCCTTTGATCTATAGTATGTATAGAGCCCAGAGGGGATGTTCCTCTTTCAGAAATGTGCCCACCTGTGTTTTGGATGTGGCATCAGCTGAAGGCCCAAGATGCAAGAACCTGTTTAATTGAAAATCTCCAGGGATCTGTTGTAACTATTGTTCCTTTTATTCTAACCTCTCTTCTGGGTTGCAACCCTCCACTTCAGCTCCTAGATACTGTGGCTGGGTTGATGGTGGAGTTCCCCAGACTCATGGAAGACTTGACCTCAGTTTCTCAGGGTGTAGAGTCTGAGGTAGCCCAGATGTTCGTGGTCACCATGATAGCCATGCACTTGAACCAGGTCATTGAGGACCCAATACACAGCTGGGGGTGGGATGGGGGATGCCACATCTGGTTTTCATGTCAGAACAATGGTGATACGATCTGGAGATTGTCATTATTACCTGATATGGTTGAATAATTTTCTGTTTGCCTGAAGTGCCCTGATGTTACTTCACTACTAAATCAAAGAGAGGCTAGAGTCTGGACCTATTTGATTGATCTGCCCCAAAGAACAAACTAAACCAGAAATTGTCTAGGATTGTTCCTGAAGGTCTGATGCATGATATGACTGCTTGGAATGAAAAGATGGCTGAAGCTTTGAATCACAGATAATGCACAGAACGAAATGTCTGAAGCACCGTTGAAGGGCAACAAGGAATGAGCCCAAGCAAGTACAAATTAGAGCCATTATTAAAATCTACCTTGTGGCATAAGGCTGATGGAGTTCATCAACATTTTTCTGCCCTTCTGCATCTGCAGATAGCTTCTTACCAGCCCTCTTTAGTATGGCTCAGATCCTCCTGGGAGGGAGATTGAAACAGATATTTTTCTTCAGGACTCCTGTGAGGAGTATTTTAGACATCAGTTGGATAAAGTCTATTGGGTTTACTCCAAGTTGGATTCCATCCTTGAGTGTCATGGAAGTTCAAACTGGACCTGATTGTCTGGAATAAGTTTGATCTTTGATCCTAGAGTAAAACTAATGATCATTGCCAGCAAAGGAAGATGATAGTAGAGAATATTGCTGTGTATTATATCAACATGTAAATTGGGGAAGAGGAATTTAAGCAAAATTCTTTATTCCCAGTTTCCCATTAAATTATTTAAATCTCTCATTTTAGTCAATGTGTTGTGCATGTTACTCATTATTTATTCAGTTAGGATATTTCCCCCTGTTTCTATAGAGTAATTCAGTACAAACCTATTAAAGCTTGTTGAAATGTAAATACAAATTCTGTACCAAATGAATGTTAACATAATTTTTAATTATATGCTTGTTTATTTTCCTTTTGGGGGGTGAAGCCTGCTTAAATGCTGAGCAATTTTCATGCTCCTGAGGCAAACTGTGTACACTCAGTACTTTCCAATCTATATTATTTATATTATTATAATTATATTATTATTATTTATATTTATATTATTTTTATTAGCCATTTTAATTTTTTTTAAAGAAAATCTATATTTTTGAACGCCACAAACGTGGTTGTTTAAAAGTTGATTCAGATGAAGAAACAGTACATACTGTGAAGGGGAGATGGAGTATTTCTTCAGGATTTGGCAAAGATGTATATGATTTGTTTTGAAAGAAGAAGAAAAACCTGAAGCTTTCAGATCTATCAATTAGCCCAGCAGTTTCAGTCACCTTTCAGACAGTTCAGTACGAATATCTACTATGATTTTTTTTCCAGATAGGGAAAGAATAAGCACTTCATCATAAAGACGTGAAACCTTTTACCCCTTTTCCCTTCTAAACCCAGAATTGCATACTATAGAAAATAAAATAATAGGGTTGGAAGAGATGGATAGTCTTCTTGTTCAGTCCCCTGCTTGGACAGGAGACCTTATACCATTGTGGACAAATGAGTGTCCAGTCACTTCTTGAAACCCTCCAGTGATGGTTTTGAAACATCCTACAGTAATATATAGGTCAAAACAAATAGTAAAATGTAAAATAGTCAAGTTTCTATACTATATAAGAAAACGACCACTTTATTTGATTTCTCCCATGGCCGTTGGGAAAATTTTATTCTGTTGACAGCCATTGCATTGACAAATATGAAAGTGTATATATATAATCTTATTCTATGTTCCTAATTCTTTATTATATGTCTTTAATTCTTAAGTGTCATAATAAAACATCCACCCCTTATTTTATCATGTTTTAAAGGTTCGAAAGATTTTAAAGGCTGAGATGTAATCCAACAAGTGACATACAGATCACATAAGAAAACTTTAGGTGGTAAAATTTTGTTTGATAATCATGAGATTTGCATATCACCAGAACTGGGATTTAAACCTAAATGCAAAAACTTTTTATTCCCATTATATTGGATCTCATTTGATTTGTTGCAAGGCTTACACTATGAACAACTTGAACCTTTATTTTTTGTTCTTCCTGTTTAAGGACTTAAAATTGTATGTTCTACAGCCAATAGCTACTTCAGAAGTATGCTCCACTGCAGTGGTTCCCAACCTTTTTTTCGCCCCACACCCCTAAAGAAATTTCACTCGAACCTCGCACCCCCTGAAATTTAGACTTTAGGAACTACTGAACGCATTAAATATATGGTAGTATTGAATCTTTTCAGCTATGTATGTGACGGCCACTAAATAACGATACTTAACTCTAAAATGAAAACAAAGTTAATCCATTGCATAATACATAAAGCCAATATCCTATTATTTACCTGGACTTTTCTCGCACCCCCTGGAATATCGTCTCGCACCCCCAGGGGGTGCGAGCATCCCAGGTTGGGAACCCCTGCTCCACTGCAAACAGTTCTAAAACTGATAAAAACGTTCCCCTCTAACTATCATTTTATGTATATCTGAGAGACAATGGGAAACTAAATGGCTACTCAAGACTTTTAACTGGTAAATAAAACTGAAAACTTGGATTCAGAATGACTCATGGATGTCACTACGTCCAGTCTTCTCAACATGACTGTTAACTGCAGCAGTCTTCTCCAAAGTGTTGTTCTCCTATGAGAATCCTACTTAGATTGGCTTTTGACCCCAGATAGGACACCAAACGTCATTTAATCTTAACCTCTCTGCTCTGCAGCTTTCTTGACATGAGGCTTGACATAATTTGGTTGTGGGAGAGAGCTGGCTTCAAGCAAATTCTTCGACCTCTGGAAAGGGTTCAGGCCCTTCTCCGTTCTCAATCTAAAAGTTCCTTGCCTCATCACCCTGATTTACACAGGCCCCAGGACCTTCTCTACCAGAATGGGAGGAGGTTGATGAGGAAGGAAGGGCTTCACCATCTGAACATAGTTACTCCTCTCGTTCAGAGCGTGAAGAGGGCGAGATTTTTGACCAAAATCTTTCAGAGGAAGAGGATTCTCGCCCAGAGCAGACATCCTCTGCATTGGTCTTCAAACCTACTCTCTTCAGGCCATTACTCAGCAAGGCCTTGGTCACTGCCAGGCTGTCGCCAGAGGAAGTGGCTCCTGAGCCACAAGGAAATCCCTCTAGCCAAGGGAATTCGCTCTTCTCCAAGCCTGTAGTGCATGCAGAGGTTTTGCCTTCTCCCACTTTGTTCCTGGACATGGTAAAGGAACAGTGCGCTTCCCCTTCGGCAGGTCCTCGCCCATCTTCTCTGGATAAGCGTTTCTACAACGTCAACGCAGCCCTGGACAATGCCCTGGCAGTGC